CGGGAAAAAAGTAATTTATGAAAAGTGGAATTTTATAACCTGCCAACAGGGATGAAATGCCAAACTTTTTTCCCGTCACAGAAAAAAAGATTTTTTTCTGAATTCAGTTTTCCTTATTTCCAAGCCGATATCCAATCTCTCTAAGTGTAATTTCGTAATTGCAAGTATTCATTCACTTTTTAGTTTGTGTTCTATTTTCACAGCTAGTTCATTTTGAATCTAGCTTGGATAGACAAAATTTGTTTCCGTATTATGTGTTGGATACTGTATATTAGTGGGCATTATCAATATTATCTTGCTTGGAATGTATCTCAGGACTGGATCATTCTTGGATTCCTAATTTTGAAAATGCCTTCCACCAGCTGTTGTGTGTGGAGACTTTCAGTTCTTACTATTAATCAGATTAGCGATTGAAAATATTATGTCACTCCATCTGACGGCGAGAATTTGAACACTTCAGATCAGTTTGTTCCGATGGTTGACCAATAAGCACAAACGAAAAACGAATGTGAACCAATGAAGACAAAGTAAACAGACCGCTTTGACAGCTTTCGAAAACTTAGATAGGTGGCGTACGCTTATTTCCTATCGTGAATACCAACATATACAATTTTCTGGATACGCGATTAGAAATCAGTTTGGCTGTTCTTTTTTTTTCAATGAAACCTATCTTCTTTTCACCTGAAAATCGTGATGAGAAGCAATGAATGAATTTATTGCAATATTTCCATTTCAGGTCATTTCGAATCACCTTGCTTGGATAAACAAAATTTGTTCCCGTATTTTGTGTTGGAAGCTGTGCTCACTGAGCATTATCAATATCTTGCTTGGAATCCATCATAGAACTGAACCATTTTCGAATTTCTATGTTAAAAAATAAACTGCACCAGCACACTTTCAATTTCTACTATTGAAAGTATATGTTATCAGATAGATATTTATACTCTTCTCTGTATAAACATGGCAGGTTGAAATAAATGATTGAATTGAATAAAGAGACTGCATTCAATGAAGAATACCACGATCAATACTGGTCTTGATTCCAGAATCCGCTTTGAATACCTACTGGTGATTCCTTGATGGCAATTCCGCAACAAGATATCTCTTAGGCACCAGAAAAACCTGTTCAAATTCTAACAGCAGTTGCAGCAGACCCTGCAAAATTTGTGGCTACGATGATTGTCAGATCATCTGACAACTCTCCAGAATCGCATCTACTTCAGGCACACTCGATGTAGGATAAAGTGTTCTACTTTGAGGCGACACCCTGCCTCCATTGCAATGGGGCTGAGGCATAATACCTGCAATTCATTCTGGCAAGGATAGTATGGTTCGTGTCGTATTAGTGTAAACGCTGAATGTCAGTGAATTCAGGCGCAGTATAGCCAAAATCAGTGTATTGCCATTAGACGTTGATTAGGTTCAACATTTGTTCATAGCTGACATCTTTATCATTCACATTTTAACAGTTCATTCATTTGGCTCCTTTGTTGAAAGCACATGATCATCCATATTTTTTATCGTTTTGGAACAACATCCTTTCAAGGTGGGTAGTATGTTATGTTATATCATATTTTAAATTCGTGAACTTTGAAAGGTTAATAGGAGACATTCGCCACTCTGCATTTCGCAACCCGTATCTGTGACAGTTTCGATAAATTTTTTTTACGAGAGAGGACGACACGTTGTCAAAATAAATTCATTCTTGAACCTACTACAGTCCACTCATTCGAAAATCCGCACAATAGGGCAGGAAGAAATTCTTACAGTCCTGCCCTATTATCTTCACTTCACTGCAAGATGGATCAACTCAGATGGTTAAAGATCACAATGTTCGATAGATTTCCTTCCTCAAAAACATGAACGACCAAAACCAATATTAATATCATGTAGGACTAGCTGTCCGGCCCGGATATAAATTGTTGCAGGCGTTCTGAGCTATGCGCGTATCTACAGTACATATTTTTTCGTTTTTTTTTTCTTTGAATTTTTTGTGCTCACCTATAGCTACTATTATATACTTACCTACACCTATTTTTATTCTCCCAGTACTTTTTTTCCCTTGTTTTACGTATTGAAAATGTCAACCCAATCGGTCAAGAAGTTATGTGAAGAATATAAATTTTTCTACAAACGTCGAAAAATGACAAGTTTCGCGCATTGATAACAAATTGCGAAGTGACACTTTTTTTCAGTTTCCTACGTTACCATGATTCCTTGCACAAAACAATGCGCGAAGTAAAACAGTGCGCGAAGTACCTACTTCGCGCATTGTTATGTAAAATATATGAGATATTCATATTTCAACTTTATGTTCCTCAATCGAGCAGACATCCACAAAATCATTTATTTCTGAATGTTCAACAATAACTTTGTTTTTTCTCTTGGAGCGCACGAAAGGAAATTCCTATTATGTTCGTAGAACATCGTGCGTACCTAGTGAGGATAGGGGGAGACCTTTTAAGCCAGTTCAACACTAGTTTTTATATCGCGCTAAGCATATTTTCACTTTTGAACTATATTTTTTGACGTATGTAGAAAAAAATTTGTTTGCAACTCGAGCGCGAAATACTTTGGTCATCTCGACTATTCTTTCAACTTGGCTACGCCTCGTTGAAAAAATCAGATCTCGATATCCAAAGTAGCATTTCGCGCTCTAGATACAAAAATAACTTCAAATACGGAAGGATAGTTCTCATTACCTACCAGTTGTTTCATTACCCGTTTTCTCGTAGAAATTGATGAACTTTTCGAGGTTAAAAGTCGCCTATGTTCTTCAGACATGATGGCGGCTTCTGATAGTGGATGGTACTTTCGGAACAAATTCAATACAAACGAACAAACAAACAAATTTTTCTCCTTTAAAATATCAATATCAATGACTCTCAATCTCTGGAATGAGTCTGAGAAAGCATTGAATTTTTTGTACGAAAGTTAACCTTATTCTTATTTATCAGCAAAATGCTTCCTAAAATAGACATATCATTTTTGAATTCGTTATTCTGTATATTGGAATCTGATCGATTTTCTTCTTTGAATAATTATAGGTGAACGTCAACTCATATTCAACTCCTGAATATTTCTCCTGAAGATAACAACATGTTTCGTTCATTTCATGAGGTTTTATTCAACCGAATTAAAACCCTGCAAGAAATAGATTATATTCAATTCACTCACCGGGATTCCCTAGTTTTCAGTCTTCTAGATCCTGGTTGTTGTGAAAAAACAGGGTTTTAGAGGAAGGAAAGGAGCAAGAAAAACACAAACTGAGAAGAAAAATGATGCCCGAACATTTGATATTTGATGTCACTAGCCCGAATATCCAGTTTATATTTTTTGAAAATATCCCGTTCACCTTTTGATAGGTTTATTGAGTCCGAACTTCTCAACCGCCGATATGGAAATGGTCGTGTATTTTCAAATAGGTGATGAGGTGATACTTTTTTCCATATGCCCAGGTAGACCTCCGAATCCGAACAGTAAAGGAAATCAATGTTACCAAATCTTCCGAGAAGTCCTAGAACTCATTGCTTAATTATGATTTGCGCCAACATACCTTCCACCGTGAAAATCCATTTTCAACTATGATCGCTTACAATGAAGGAAAGCAGCAAATTGAGTTATTTTGTCAAATTTGTTGAGAAGTGAAAATGCCTAAATCAATAATAATTATTGTTATTACTAATGACACCATCAATTTTGATAATAACTGAAAATTTCCCCTGCATCCAAGCCATAGATCAAGACATTAGATATATAGAAAATGAATAAAATGAGAATGAAAATAACCAAGAAACAAAAAAATTGAAAAATTCTCTCATTTTTCCCGAATACCCAAAACACCTATATGATCCTATTGTGTTGGTAAAGGGCATACTTTAACAACAGGTCATGTAAAAGTACTTTTACCAGTTTTTCCTCTAGTTTTCAGTCTCCTAGTTACTGCTTGTTGCTGCTGAGAAGAAAAATGATGCCCGAACATTTGATATTTGATGTCACTAGTCCGAATATCCAGTTTATATTTATTCACCTTTTGATAGGTTCATTGGGTCCGAACTTCTCAACCGTCGATATCGAAGTGGTCGTGTATTCTTAAATAGGTGACAAGGTGATACATTTTCCATATGCCCAGGTGGACCTCCGAATTCGAAGAGTAAAGAAAATCAAGGTTGCCAAATCTTCTGAGAAGTCCTAGAACTCATTGCTAGATTATAATTTCCGCCAACAGAACAGTTTTCTTCAAATTTCGAGTCCTTCGATAATTGTGAAAGAAATGGAAAATGTCTTTACTCTTCGAAATAAATATGGAGTGATTTTTTTGTTGAATTTATATTGAAACAAATATTCAGTTTTTCGAAATGAATTGAAGTATCTCTCATGATTGATTCTTCTTCATCGATTATTATTTCAAACGTCTTTCAGCTCTCCTGTAAAATCTGATATTTTGGACTTCCGACCTTTGTAAATCCAACCGACGGATATCATGAAAACTATTCAGATTCGCCTGGATGTTCTTCACTCTCAGAATAAGTTTGTTCCTACAGTTGTGAAACACCTTGTATGAGCAATCAAAATGTGTCAAAATATAACTTATCAACTGATATATTATCACTCTACCAATATAGTCGAACTATTTGAAACTCTTAATCTTGCAGATATGAAGGAATATACATAATCAACCGTTAACAGTAAACTCATTCCTGTATTACGTTGATAATCACACCAATGATGGAAAAGTGGTTCTTCTTCTGTGTGATCATTCAAATCACTGGGGGAATCAACAACACGTTTTTTAATAAAAAAAATTGTTCATTGTTTTTGTTGTGTTTATATTAGAGATGGTATTTTCAATGAATATAGATATTCATTCCTTCCGCAATCAAAAATCTCACTTTTTTCTCTCTTTTTCTCTCGCGTCGTTCATCTTCATCAAATCAACCAATCGTATTATGATTTCGTGAAATCAGCCGAACAAGCAATAATTGTTATTAATAACTCACCTCAATGCTGAACAGACGATTCCCATCAAGATATGTTTTATTCAAGACATTGAAATACTTGAATGAAACGGGCAACAATATATTCAATTGATTATAATCCAATCTCAATTCATCTAGACTCAATTGATAATTCAAGTTGATATCGACACCTGGCTCAGTAGCTGGTTCCATCTTATTTATTACATTGTAGCTCAAATCGAGCGTTTTCAATATTCTCAGGGGTTGCAGTGCCTGGTAAGGTATAGCAGTTAACTGATTATCGCCCAATAATAGATTAGCGAGTTTTCCCATGCCATCTCGAAAAACAGAAGAATCAATTTCCCTCAGATTATTTCCACTGAGGTCGATTGTTTCCAGATTCATCATACTCGAGAACGAATCGGTTGGTATGAAACTGATGTAATTATCAGCTAGTATAAGAGTTTGGAGAGAACTTTCTATGCCCCGCCAGTTTTCAGGAGAGATGTTGCTGATGTCATTACCTGAAAAAATTGTATGTTCAGAACAGTATCTAAGATAGGTGATACAATCTATTCACTAATCATCATACGAAGACATGTGAAGAATACTTATTTATACACCAAGGTAGTAAAGAATATCAGTATGTCTCGAGGATTCAGCCAAGGAGTATAAGGTCCCGTGGTAATAATATTCTATTTTACCGAGGTGTATATAAAATTTTTGACACCACTAGCAACACACAGTTTTCAGTTCTGTGAAACTGAAATATGAACCTATTGTCACTATGAACGCACTTTTTTCAACTATAATTGAAATCTCGCATCAGAACAGTGAATTCGGGTTAATCAACCTTGATTGTAACAGATGTGGCTATGTCTTTATAGAATAGTGAATGATAAAATGACAAAAACTAACTAGGTAGTGGAAACACACTTTACACCTCGAAAAGAAGTAAATAATGCTAGGTTTTATAGCTAGTGGTGGAAAAGATCTATCATGATCAAACTATCTCATATTGCTTTCAAATTTACACCATTTTCGAGACGATATTAGAACTGTATCATCCATCTCTGGAATACTACTTGGAACTAGATGAATTGAAAGAGAGAAGAATAATGGACATTCTCCCTCAATTATTTTCAGATGAATGAGCTATATGGAAGTATTCTCGAAATGGGTCCCCTATCATCATTTATAGTTTTATCACGATTTTTATCACGTTTGTCATAAATATTTTTGCTTCCCAATGAACTCGAATTGATCACAGGTCCGAAGTATATGCAATAATTCGGATGAACGAATACTGATTATAATAATGATATAGTTCATTCAAGTATATGTACAAGGTGATTGTTCATATTTTACTCAATAAACTGACCAAGATGACCTCAACAAAGTATATACAGTGTGACCCACTTCTAATGGAAACACCCCTGTATCTTACGTAATCGTTGGGTAAGGATCCTCAAATTTGCTGGAGCGAGAGATATACCACCAATGCACTGTATTACCAAGTGGGGCATCTCCAGTGATATACACTGCTCGCCAGCAGCCATGGAACCACCCCAATTTCCGGAAAATGATATTAGGAGTCAAAATAGGTTGGAAATCACTTCGGATTCGGAATCAGGACGCCCAATTCACTGGTTATTCATAGTTTCCCTAGACAATTTTCAGTTCAGAAAAATTAAATTTTGTCTCAGTTCTCATGGAAGCACCCCCGTATCTCACGTAATTATTGAGGTAGGGTTCTGAAATTTGCAGTAGAAAGGGAAAGTCTAAAGATAAAGTTAATTAGGTACGTATACAGGGGTGCTTCCGTAAAGAGTGCGACAAAATTCAATTTTTCAGAACTAAAAATATTCCAGGAAGAATAAGAGTAGTTAGTGAATTGTGCGTCCTGATTCCAAATCTGAAGTGATTTTCGACCTATTTTGACTCCTAGTATCATTTTCCGGAAATAAAAGTGGTTGTTGGCGAGCAGTGTATATCACTGAAGATGACCCCACTTGGCCAAAGAGTGCATTGTTGGTATATCTCTCGCTCCAGCAAATCTCAGGATCCTTACCCAACGATCACGTAAGATACAGGGGTGTTTCCATTAGAAGTGGGTCACACTGTATATTAAAAATCAGGGGAAACAGCTTTACCGATTAGGAGAATAAAATACAGGGTGTTCCATTCGAAAAATACCGGTTCATGTGAAATTGTCAGCTTTGAAATGCTTTTTCGCATTTTCTAGTACTTAATCTGAATGCCCATAAAAATACTTAATTTCTGCTCATTTGATCGTTTCAATAAGACAAATATTGATTGTGATAGTTATTGAGTGAAATAAAAATCAACATCTACATCACAGGTAATTTACAGCATCAGTAATAATTCAAAGAACAGAAGTTCAAAATGACTGCTCAAAAAATGGATAAATCGTCACAAGAGTTTTGTTGCTCGTGATATTTATTAAGATTTACTCGTGTTGCTATGCTGCCATTTGCAAGTGTGTCTCTCCTAACTCCCAAAGCGCGCTCGAATTGGAGCCCAAATACTTGCAGACCAGTTTCATATTGTAGTCGGAAGCAAAGCTGAGCCAACGGGAGTCCAGCTGAGTATTTCATTCACGTGGCGCCGCCGTATCAAGGTTGTTTACTTTGGAATATCTAGTTCAGAAAGGAATCAACAGTCCAAAATCGAATTTCCATAATCGAAATCGAAAATAGCTTACTGTACGAATGACGTAATTTATTTATATATATAGAATATCACTTCTCAAATCAACTAGCAATTTTGTGTCGATATCAACAACTGTTGTGGAACTTATCATATTATAATATAGTCACTGAAACAATCATTTTGGCTTCGGTTTTTTTCTCCACACGAGCTATGCTTTCAGAGTTGATGTGACCTATGAGCATGATGATGATCCCTAGTGGTCGAAACATGTATCAACAAGATTTGCATTGAATTTCATTTTCGGAGAAAGACTCAAAGTTTTTCTCCTGATAGTATAATACTACTGGTTTTTATTTAATGAAGAGAACGTGGACGAACAGTGGTATTACAACTATTAGTTTGATGATGGAATGATCTATATCATAGCTTTTGTGTAAAAAATTGCAGAATTCGAGATTCTTCAATCAGCTCAATTTTTTTTCACCACAATATCCCAAAGGGGCTTATTGAGATATTTGGGATATTTGAAAATTTAATCAATTCCAATTTGAACTTTTCATTGATTCATGAAGAGGATCATGCAAACATAAATCGACAAACTGTGGAATCTTCATGCCCACAATTTGTCGGAAATATCACCTCCGAATTCGATATTGTGGAGAAGATGATCATGTTGGAACACTTTCGTTTGATCCAGAATATTTTCCAGTTGGTACAATAGAAAACTTTTCGACCACCATCAAAGTGTTATGGGAAATTGATGAGGTACTACTTCCATCCACTATAATATTTTATTATACCTATGATTTTCAACACAAAAGCTTGGATTGAAATAATTCAGTTCTAGTTGAATAGTTAATTCATTTGTGTTCTATGTCCACCATCAAGAAATAAGGAATTCAATTAGATTCGAATGAACAGAGCATATCGACGACGTGTATTGTAATAGATAATCTGAAAATATTTGCGGCTTGATTGAGGAAGGCGACACATGAATTTTACTCACTCAGAGATGAGGATATTATTTCCTGAACAAGTCCAAAATAGCCTTCAGGAAGAAAGGAGGATGAAGAAATTTAGGGAAAATTGAATTGAATATTCAACATTGCAGTATTGCAATTGATCAATAATAATATGCAATGAAAATATCAAGACAACATTCGTTGATATCTGAATGAATTTTACGTATTTCGTCCAAATTGTCTCGTTACTTTCCTAATAATATGAGATAACATAGTTTTCAATTATAGTAAAAGAAGTAATGATAGTTTCACGTTGAAAATTCGGGAAATCAGGAGGAGAATATCAGATTATGTGATTATTTTGAAAACTTAAAACTGATAACAAACGAAGCTTTCACTAGCAATTGGTGAGGAACGTTTACCTGTTAAATCCAGACGTCTAAGTTTTTGTAGATATCGAATTGCCCTATTGGGGACTACGGTGAGATCACAATGGCTCATTTCTATTTCCCACAATGATCTTTCCAGTCCGATTAGAGCTTCGTCTGGTATGGTTGAAAGAGGATTTCGACTGATAACTATCTTATATAAACCTGAAAAAAGTATGATGCAGTCAGTGAATCTTCAAAATGCATCGATTTGAAGAGGAATTGTTATCCTGATTCCGAAAATGTACCAAAGAATGGTCATGATATATTTCGTGATCTGGGTGCTGAGTGGTAGAACCAGTATTACCATAAGTCGAAGTACGAAGTGAAAACACTCCCTCCCCTAAATTCAGCATCTATTGAACTGTGTTCAATAAAAAGTGGTTTGTTCAGATATATATAACACTTACGGGAAATGATATTTTGTTGAAGCTGTCTTCCATTAAGTGGGGAATAATGCATGTGTAGAAGAACATTCACAACATGAAAACATCAATATTTTTGGAAGTTGATAAAAAATTATTACATTATATTTGATGTTAGTCGAGAAAACTTGCAAAGAATTTTTGCTACGGTAAGTATTACAACATGGCTGGCAAACAGAAGTAGAACGGTAACATGGACACCTGTCTGAAAGAATCATGTAATGATAAAAAATTCATCTGTCATGAGTCAATTGTCAAAATTCAAAATTCGAAAATAACGGTGATTCATTAAAGTGAATAAAAATAGAAGAGGAGATGGACATTCCAATGATGGTATTGCCAACTGTTCATTTTTACCAGGAAATTTAAAATTCTCCAATGATTGTTATGTTACTGCGATCACCTGGTGAACTCAGAAGGTGAGAGTAAATTCTGCTTGAATTGTCTATGTCAGTTCTAGTATTAATAGTGTCCGTTGATTTGAAAATATGTGTCATTTCTGAAAAGGTTATTTTTTTCAAGTTTGATTCATGTTCTAATATTGTCACATTATCATAATCTGGCCTGTGATCATAGGTATTCACATGATGTGCTAAGGAATAAGTTAATTTGGACAATCTAATGTCACTTTTGTGGGATATGATGCGGTCTCTGATTTTCTTTTTGTTTGGCCTCTATATTTCTTGTCACATTGCGAACATAGAATACAATATACTACATTGGACTGTTTCATTATTTCATCTTTATCTTTTAATTTTGAAAATATGTTGATAAGAGTGATTTGATTTTTGAAAGCAATTTGAAGGTTTGGAATTTTTGATAATATATTTTTGAATTTGTTGCTAAGAGAGTTGATATATGGGAGTGAAACATAAACTTTCAGATTGTTGTTGTATCAATGATACTAGTTCTCTGAAAAAGTAATTTATGAATTAGGTTTCTTGGGTCACCACTATTGATGAATAATTGGGAAAGTTTTTTGAAATTGTCATTGCGAAAAGTGTTGTGACTGGTCTTTTCTACTCTGTTCTTCATTCCTAAAACCAAGTTGTTTTTTTTTGATGGTAGGATTCATAATGGAGGAATCTCCCAGAGGCACCTGGTTTTGTATACCAACTGGTAATCAGTTTATTGTCCTGCCTTCTTATGACCTTTGAGTCTAAAAAGGGGACACTGCAACATATGTCTTCTTTTTCAACAGTAAATTGTAGGGAATCATTGTAGGAGTTCAAGACAAGTAACAGTTGTTCAACACTATTTCGTGGGACATTGGGAATTATGTCGTCTACATATTTTTTGAGAAAAGAAATATTAAACGGTAATTTGTTTAAAGAATCAATGATGAAATCATCCATTACATATTGAGCAATGATAGGTGACACAAGACTTCCAATTGGCAAACCAGCAATTTGTTTGTACACTTCATCACTGAAACTGAAGACTGTTGTGTTATATAAAAATTCTATTGAGTTTAGGAAGAGTTGTATTGAAATCTTACAATGCAGTTCCATCTCATTCCAATGTCTTTTCATGCTTTTCTTGGCAAGTTCAACTGTGACATTATCAAAAAGTGAAACAACATTCAGGCTGACTAGGACATCATTATGTGGAAGTTGAAATTCGTTTATAAACGAGCAAAAGTCAAAAGAATCTTCAAGGAAGTATTCATTGTCAGTATTATATGAAATTGTGAGAATATTAGTGACTAGTTGAGCTACTCCATATTGGGACTATTGATACCAGAAATTATTGGTCTGAGGGATAAAGTAGGTTTATGTATTTTGGGTAAGCGATAAAATTTGTTATTTGTTCCATTGTAGATTCTGAATTTTGTACCTTCTTGTTTTGTGATCATGTTTTTTTTTTCCAACTCAGAAATCAACTTATTAGCTCTCTGCTGGATATTGTTTGAAGGATCTGTTAGTAAGGGTAAGTAATATGTTCCATTATGTGAAAGATCTATTGCTTAGTCTACATATTGTTGATGAGTGATGAATTTGATTGTTCGTGGTGCTATTTGAATGAATATAATTTGTTACAATGTTTGTGGATTTGGCCAAAAAAATATTTTTATCCTCTGTGGTAGGAATGAATTGTGAAATGTAATCAATATCTGACAAAAAACGAGGTGAATTGATTTCTCTGGAATTTGGTTCGATACTGAATCTAGGCCCCAAAGCTAAAAAATTGGATATATCATCAAGAATGTCTGTGTCAGTTGAATTTTTGATCCATGAAGATGGCGTTTTGATTTTGTGAAAAAAATGTTGTATCAATCTGTTCAATTTTAAAGTATTAGTATTCCTAATTTGGTGAAATCGTCGATTGTAGGCAATTGATTGTTTTCTAAAAACGTTGGTAGAAATATCATATGGTAATAAGTTAACAATTTTAGCTTTAGAAGCAGTCAATGTTCTCTCCAAACTACGAATACTGTCATGTGTAATTTTGATTTCTAGGTTTAGAAGTTTAATCCTTAACCTTTCGTTGAAGTTTACAGCTGTGTGCAAAGTCCTTCCTACAGCTGAGCTTGTGAGTTCTGTAATGTTCTTAATGCCATGTGTGATATGATCAGGAAAAATGTTGTATTGTCTGCATTATATGAGAAAAGTGCATCTGTTACGGTTGGAAGCAAGCTTGAACAGACACAAGATACATGAACCTACTTTATCCCTCAGACCAATAATTTCTGGTATAAATAGTCCCAATAGAGGAGTTGCTCAACTAGTCACTAATATTCTCACAATTTCATATAATACTGACAATGATTACTTCATTGAAGATTCTTTTGACTTTTGCTCGTTTATAAACGAATTTCAACTTCCACCTAACTATGTCCTAGTCAGCCTGGATGTTGTTGCACTTTTTAATAATGTCACAGTTGAACTTGCCAAGAAAAGGAGAAAAGCATTAAAAGACATTGGAATGAGATAGAACTGCATTGTGAGATTTTAAAACAACTCTTCCTTAACTTAATAAAACTTCTATATATGACACAACAGTTTTCAGTTTTAGTGATGAAGTGTACAAACAAATTGCTGGTATGCCAATGGAAAGTCCTGTGTCACCTATTATTGCTCAATATGTAATGGATGATTGATTCATTGATTCTTTAAACAAATTACCGTTCAATATTCCTTTTCTCGAAAAATATGTAGACGACATAATTCTCAGTGTCCCACAAAACAGTGTTGAACAACTGTCACTTGTCGTTAACTCCTACAATGGTTTCCTACAATTTACTGTTGAAAAAGAAGGTATATATGTTGCAGTGTCCCCTTTTCAGACTCAAAGGTCATAAGAAGGCAGGATAATAAACTGATTACCAGTTGGTATACGGAACCAGGTGCCTCTGGGAGATTCCTCCATTATGAATCCTACCATAAAAAAAAATTCAACTTGGTTTCAGGAATGAAGAACAGAGTAGAAAAGACCAGTCACAACACTTTTCGCAATGACAATTTAAAAAAACTTTCCCAATTATTCATCAATAGTGGTTACCTAAGAAACCTAATTCATAAATTACTCTTTCAGAGAACTAGCATCATTGATAACAATGTAGGTGACATCGCCCTTCCTCCCAACAACAATCTAAAAATTTATGTTTCACTCCCATATATCAACTCTCTTAGCAACAAATCCAAAAATATATTATGAAAAATTCCAAACCTTCAAATTACTTTCAAAATTCAAATCACTCCTCAATAACATATTCTCAAAATTAAAAGATAAAGATGAAATAATGGAACAGTCCAATGTAGTATATTGTATTCCATGTTCGCAATGTAACAAGAAATATATAGGCCAAACAATCCCCCAAAAATATCCCACAAAAGTGACATTAGATTGTCCAAATTGACTTCTTCCTTAGCACATCATGTGAATACCTATGATCACAGACCAGATTATGATAATGTTACAATATTAGAACATGAATCAAACTTGAAAAAAAGAACCTTCTCAGAAATGACACATATTTTCAAATCAACGAACAGTAGGTGCGTTTTTTTGGTTTCCTTCTGGTGGCAGTAGAATTGACGACCAATAAAACGATGTGATTTATTTTGGAGAGTTGTGACATTCAGCTGATTCTTTTTAAGGTTATATAATATAATTCCGTACATGATTAATATAATTATAATAAGATTTTAATGGATGTTGTTCCCGCTTTCTTGTTATCCTCCTTAGTAGGTGCATCGGTTAGAAGGCAAAATACATTGATATTTATCGATGAAATTGACCCCTCAATAAGTACTTGAAAGGATTTTATACTTGTGGGTCTTTTGATGTTATCTCAAGGAATAATTGACTGAATTTATGTTGATACTTCTAGATTTTCTAGCAATATCATAACAAAAATTCAAAATTATTACGAAGAAATAATACCGCAAATGAATTTATCAACATTCAAAAGTCATTTCAGGATGAATCCAGAAGTGTTTGAAAGTATTCTGGGTAGAATTGCGAACAATCGTCATTTCCAGAAAGACTATCGTCATGGAGGCAGACAAAAAATTGATGTAGAGAAGATGGTTCTCATAGCTATGGTATAAAACTATGGGGAAATTCATGTCATGCTATTCACATTTTTAGGATGCAAAAAAAGGCTTCGAGAATTCTAGCTGAAATCGGATACAGGGATCACTGCCAAGAATATTTCAAAAAACTTGGAATTATGCCACTGCCAACTCTATATATATACTGTGCTATAGTTGAGATGCACAAAATGCAGTCATGTAT